TTAAACCATAACGGTTGTAAACGATGGACTCGTAAATTATTCCAAGCGAACGGGCACAAATACGGGAAGGGGAGAATCAAATATCCTTGTTGCGAACAATTTTTATGGTCCTGATGCCCCTGACATTTATAAGACGCATGGAATTTTCCGTCGTGGAAACAAAGCCTGTCGTGCGACGACGCTTCGGTCGCATTTTAATACACGATTACGTACGGAAACGTTCCGATGAATGAACGTAAATCTCGCTGATTTTCGTCGAGGTGGATAGCACTTGATTGCGACTGTCGGGGGAAATCAAGTGACACGCCAACAAATTAATTTGAGGTGTGCGCCATTTATAATGAAAGACACTTTCTAGTTGTATCTATGTTTTCAAAGTTTTATTTTTATCTATATTTTAAGAAATATAATTTAAAAATGCGAATTATCGGCGACTTTCCTATATTATTTTTCTAATAACTTTCCTGTATTAAAAGTTGCAATCATAAATCATATGAAGTGGCGGTCCCCCGCTTACACAAGAATACAAAAAGAATATACAACAACTAATTGGCCTGCTAGTGTAATTTATAACGCGTTTCAAGTTCCGGAGGATCTAAATTCGAATACCACAGCGGCCGATATATTTTTCTGTATTTATCGTGTACAGCTCCTCAAAACACGTATACAAACACGCTTCCGTCAAAACAACAAATTATCTTCGATAGATGATGACACAAAACCTGTTGTCTGTCGTTACCCTAAACTACACTAAGACTTTCTTTCTCGCTTTTTTTGTAAGCATAAAAAATATGTTTATTTCATCAAGTACAAGTATGATCTAATCTAGACAATTAATTAGGTAACAAAAAGATATGAGCTAATAGTCGCTATAAAGATGACTAAAACAACTTAAAAGTTACTTGGCTGACTGATGATATTACAGTGGAAACATTTGTCGCCTGATAGTCATCTATAAGTTGGCATTCAGTATAAATCTGAAGTCTACTTTAGACTTCTTTTCCAGACCGGAATCAATTTGGTTTTGGCTGTAATCAAAACCGAACATAACATATTTCTGTCTGATGTAAGCGAACGAGTTTATTAATTTAATCATGTGAACAATAAATATAAATACCATAAATATTTATGTGAAAATAAATAAAAGAGTATAATTCTCTATCATATATCATTGCGCATTTCATCATTAATATATGTATAAATGCTTCTTTAGAGAAAATTCTTTCTCCAAAATTTTTTGCAATGTTTCGTGACATTAAGCAAAAAGTTGCTTTGTAAAAAAATATATGACAGAAATAATATCAAAAAGATTCTAAGGCAGCTAAATTTAAAACGTGAAGATCAATACTAGCTCAAAACGACAAATTAAACTGATCTAAAGCAATCGACTCTTTCAATCAATCAAGAAAGTCAAAACCAGCTTTATAATTCCTTTCTTAGAAAGCTTTTATTAATCTTTCTTTAAATTGAATAGAAATTATGTACAAATTACAATTGCTTATATATTGTGTAACAAATCTAATTTGAACAAATTAAATCTTAATCTTTTATAAATTGCAATTGTTTATCATATAACGAATCTAACTTGGAAAAGTCAAATCCGTATCTCTTAAATTATCAGTGATCCACTTGTTAAATCTCTTTTCAATCTCCGGCGTGAACATTTCTTTCCAACGACCCGTCATTCCTTGTCGGATAAACATTTCCGGTCGTATCACATTAGATGAAGTAGGCTGATTTACCATAGGATTTTTGCGAAAATTTTCTATTTTTAAATGCTCCGTTAACTTGGCTATCTGTTCATCGCTATAGAACTTATTGAAGAATGTAGCGATTTTTTTTATATTACCAGGTAAATCCTACAAAAAAAAAATAAAATGGAAAAATTAAATCATAATATCTTTAATATCGCTAATATTCTATATTTTTATTATCAGATATACATTAATTTCTTTTTGTTAAATGATATCAGAAAGTGATGTAAATAAGCGATATGTTTGCATGTGTGTATACTATTAATTTTGTTGAAAAAATGTTTTCTTCAAAAAAATAATATAATTAAAACATATTTATTTTAAGATTACCTATTTATTTAAGAAATAAAATAAAGTACTCATACTAATAAAATTCAAAACTTCAAAAATTATTGAAAATGGAAGTATATATTATTCTCTTTTTATTACTTACAAAAGACAAATTGACATAATTCAAGAAAATACTTTTTACATATTTTAAACAAAAAATGTGCAATTGAATAAAGTAGAATTTCTTCTTTTCACCTTTATTAGATCTTCGTAAAAGAGAAACATCATGTTTTCTCTGTGTTTCATCGCCCAAGCTTCCTTCACGTGTTCCCAATATGGACTCCACGACGCTGGAATTGCGCAAAATTAGACTCTTGAAACGCTAACAAAGAAAACATGAATGTAATAAAAACCAATTGACATTTCGCAAAACTTACTGTGATTATTCATGAAATTATTGCAGAACTGTTCGAAAGTTCCCTGAAAACTGCAATTTGTATTGGTTTTTTGGAAATGATACCAGGAAACCACCACATCTCTTGGATTTCTTGAAACATAGATAACCTGCAAAATAATGCTTAGAAAAAGTGTTGCTCATAAAATAAGAACATTTTTTAAATAAAATTTAAAATTTAAAAATATAGGGTATCAAAGTTAAAGGGAAAATTTCGCTTTTATCCAAAAATTGCGTAAATTCCTCGGATTTAGGTAGAACGTACATAAATCCATTAAAATAATCCAAGCAGTTGTCGAAATTTTTGGAAAAAAGTGAAGTTTTTCCTTCAATTTTGACACATTGTATATATTTAAAACTAAGTTGTTCGGACATATAATCATAAAGTTTTTGTCTTGAACTTGTCTTGAATTTAAGAAATCACCCCTTAAAATATTTTACATTACTTTGTATCTACATTACTTTGTATCCACTCTGTACAATTATACGAGTATTTTAAAAAAGAAAATCTCTCAACTAAATATATAATTTTCGATATGTCTCGTCAAAATTCATATAGTTAAAACAATTTGTTCTTAAATACCATTTAAATGCAACAATTTTAATAATGTACATAAATAACAAATCCTATAATAAGTTTAAAATGACAGTTTCAAAAAAACTATTTTTAATTTTTTCTTCCACTTTTTTAAATTTTCTTATTTACTCTAGATATACACACTGTTTTTTTTGACGACGTTGTACCCTGGGGTCCCGGAAACCCCATTAATATTTATTACAGTGTAACTCTAGTAAAAATGGACATATTTTAATTAATTTTTTTTAATCGATAGAGAATCAACCAAGGAACAAGCGCATAATGTTTAAAAGTTGATAGAATTAAGGAGCTCCAAGATATACGGTTTCAAAGAAAAAGGAAAGTTCAAAAATGCGAAAAAATCTCGATTTAGCACCTTTTTTCAAAAAATTATAT